AAATTTATATAAAATAATTATAATAAAAACATTTTCTTTTTAATTGTGTAATATGTATTTAATATATTGTTATTCATTAATTTACTATTTAATGTATTGAATTATTTTAACAATGATAATAATCATACCTGACATAGAATGTAAAGAAATTTGAGAAGTTTTCTTCTTATTGAAATTCATGAAAAAATGAATTAACTTCCAAATGATTTTCCATTGTTAATTTCTTTTTTTTAAATTTGGAGTATATATTCAGCATTACATAATTTTAGTATCTAAATAAAAATGAAATAATTGTAAAAATACTCAATATAGTAATATATATGTATTTGTATAAACTGGAAGAAAGCTTATCAGAATCTAAATTAAAAATATATAATTTCAATAAAAGTATTTCATAAATTCAAAGAGCATAAAGTATTCATATAGGTAAAAAGACTATCAGCATTGTCTTTCTAGCTTATTTGTGGTATAAAAGAATTTGAAAAGTACAAATTTATAAATTTTCTTTTTGTTTAATAAATGTTTTTGTTATATGTGGCATTTCAAGTCCATATATAACAAAACATTTAGCAAATCTTATAGCTTATAATAATTAATGTTTTCTACTCATTTATCATTCAAATTACAACACATTTCTGGGAAAATAATTATTTTAATACAATCTGAATATATTTTTAAAAATCAAAATCAAATATCATTTTTAATACTGAAATCATAATATTTTCAAAAATTACTTAAATTTTATTAACCTTAAAAAAATGAAACACATCAATAATATGAAATTGATACTTAGTCATTTCATAAAAATTATGTACTACAAATTCTAGTTCAGAAGTAAAAAAGAAAACCTAAATTTAACATTTTAAATTTTTTAATAAAAAAGGTATATATATTAAATGTCATATTAAAATTATTAAAAAAAAATTATTTCTTTTCATAAATACTTTTCTTTATCTCTCTCACATTATATAACACATTTAACATATATTTTATCTTTATGTAGCTATTATTGAAAATACTAATGTACATAGACTATCTGTACAGTTAACATCTTTTATAATTGAAGATAACTGGTAATCTCATTTTATTACTTGAAATGCTTGCTTTGATAACTGTTATATATGAAGATCTTACAAGATAAAAATAAGAAAATAAAGATAAATATATGACAATAATAATGACAATAGTTATTTTTCAGATTTTATGAATAAATTGATTTTGCTTCAAAAAATCATTATGTAAATAAAAACTCCATGTCTTAAAAACTTGAATAATATAATTTGCTTATGTTAATATAGGTCAAAAAAATAGAANTTATATTTATGAGCATGCGCAATCGAGAAGAACGTGCAGTTTGGAATCTCCGTTATGCAAATTTGAAATATATTTCGATTGATAATTCGATCCTGATGAAGGTTTGTGAATCAGACCGAAAACGTTCGACAGATGTAAACTAGACTGCATTTTAAAGGTATAGTGAATTTTTGTATTCATTAAATTCATTTATATTATTCAATAAATCTATTTTTGCTATCCTGCTGACAAAATCAAACTAGATATGATCTCATTACCATTTTTATTCTATTAAATTTCATAAACCCTTAAAGATATAAAGAAGAATCATTAGGAAGTATAAAATTAAGTAATCTTCAAGTAAGGAGACAATACTAAAATAAAACTTTGATTAACATTTTCTAAGCCATAATTCAATGAGTGAAACAAAACTCTGTATCTTAATTGGAAAATGTAAAATGCAATTTCCTGCATTTGGCAAATTTTTTCTTATTTCATAAAATAAAACATTTGTGATTCAGTGTAAGACATTTTTACAGATAAATATTGTTTTTAATTATTTTTGTATTGTATTTTTCATAGTAATCAGTAAATCTTCCAGATTCATAATAGATACTTGTTTAACTTTTAGAAAGTAATATAAAATTTAATGTAAATAATATAAAATTAAGTAATTTCATTAATTTTTGTTTTTAATGAAACATTCTCTACATAAATATTAATTAATATCAGATTAAAATAATTATTTAAATTAAAATGTATAGTAGACTCATCATTAACTGAAACTAAAGTAACCTGTATCTTATGGGGTAAAAAAAAGTGAAGAAATATTATTTTAAATTAAATCAATTTCTAGTAGAAACATAAGTTTAAACTTGGCATGTCACACCATGAGAAAGCCCACACTTCATGCACCACATTTATCTCCTGCTGCCATTTAACTAAAATTGCATACTGCATTAACAAGTTGTTTTTATGCAAAAACTGGGTTATATTACATTAAGTTTGTCTTAATTTGCTTTTAATTACTATATTTCAATATTAATATCAAGTCAATATAGAGTTTTCTGGTATAGTATGGGGTATAATACTACTTAGTCC